CTGGTCTGCGTGCAAATGCACGGACAAAAGTGAGCTTCATTCACAGAAAGAAAGAAACCTAGCAGGGCTGTGCTCATTTAGCCTGCCAGGGCCTTCGCTCCCTTGATCTGGCAGCCCCTCCGAATTCAAACGCCACCTTTCAAGGGATTTTCAATTCACAACATGACGACTCTGTCGCTGTCCTGAATGCGAATGTGCGCAGGATTGAATTGGTCTGCCAGCATCCCATTACTGGCTAAAAGAATACAGAGTTCAATCATCAGCTAATCATTAGAGCTGTTTTGAAGTGTTTATTTTATTAGTCTAGAAAGTAAAGCAGATTTCATACTTTTATATCGTGGCAGGCTTTGCAGACGGGCCGGTAAGCTCTTGTGATTCCCTACCCTGTGGTTAGGGTTCAGATCCTGGTAGCGGGGGATAATATGCCCGGCGCAAGTGAGCTCCAAATTGACAAATTTTGACAGATGAAAACTATGAAAACTCATAAATCAGACTGAGGAATATGAGTGTTTTTTCTCTGCTATATTTTTACCTCTTTGAACTCCCAGAAGTTATATTTGCAGGCCTTGGAAAGTGCACCACATTTTTCTTCAAGCAAATCATGACAACAGAGCATGTTTGGGTTTTTTTTTTAATTCTTGTCCAAATCTAAGGGTTATTTTCTCTTATTGATGCATATGTAAAATTCCCAGTAGCCGTAATCTGGGGACTGTATATTCAGCGTAGGGAGCTGTAAAGGTCATTTTCCCACCCAAAGCAAAACAGAGGTGGCCAGGTTCATTGAAGCACAAAATCCTGGCACAGCGATTAAGCCTCTTGCGTGGACTCCAGTGCCGTTAGCCAAAAGCGTAGGATACGCCAGCCACATCTCCGAGTGGAGGAGAGGTTGCTTTTGTGAATGAGGCCGTGTTCGTTGTTCAAAATTATGCATGTCAACAGCCCTCGCTGCGTAATTAGTACACGCTGCAATTGGGAGAAAGTGATAAAAATAACAATGCAACCGAGCTTCTAGCAGTGGTCTGTGCCATGTCTCATGGCCAAATGAATGCACTGGCACAGACCTGTGTATCCGCTCCACTTTGCGATGGGACTGTAGTTTTGGGTGCCTCAGGAGAAGCTCCGTCAGCAGAAGTGGCACGGGGGATTTGTCCCATGGTGAAAAGTCATTGACAACTCTGAGAAAGTCCCATTGGAGGGGACCCTGTGGAGGGTTTAGGAAGGATCTGAAGTTTGTAAATGAAGTTTCTTGGTAAAAAGCTCCCTAAGTTTGTCATAATTCTACAAAGGGCACAAACACTTGATTTTGCTGGCACTGGAAAATCAAAAGCACGGATGCAGTGGTGCAAGATCCTCTCGGTTGTCTCCTTTTCTTCTTCTGTCCCTAACTTCTAGGTGGTCATGTTGAAAACACAAGTAAAGTCCTCACTGTATCCATGTAATCTCTTGGTGCCGTCTTTAATACTGACTCAGGTAAAGCTGTTCTCTAGCGAAACGCTAACCAGTTGCCCCCATCGATGTCCCACTAAACAGGGTACTGTTGAAGATAAGTAACTCTGCTCTCCACCACGGGTGCTAATTGATGCCTTTGGCAGCCAGTACCAGGGCTCGAGGATTGCGTGTGTCATGGAGACCTGAATGTGTCAGCTCCCTCCCAACGGCTTGGACCTCGAGGTCTTTTTCTGGCACTGAATTTCCTTTCATGAAATAAAAAATAAAAGAGAAAACAAGCACTTTTTCCTTTTCTTAACAAGGTGTCAAGTTTGAGTGCCGTCAAGTTTAGTGTACATGCGGCAGCATTTTCTGATGCAAAGCTTTGAAAACCAGGGCCGTCTCCCCACCGTCTCCCAGGCATCCCGTTCTTTGCTGTCAGGCATGGTACGGCATGGGGTGGCAGGTTGTATTCAGTTTGTTGAAGCATCTGGCATGATAGCCACCAAGTTGTTGCCGGTGTCCTTAAGGGACTGTGCAGATCTGCGTGATTCATTCAGAATTTTTTCCCCCTAGGTACAAAGATGAGAGGTCTCATGCTGCAGTAAATGCAGTTCTCCAAACAGACTCACCGTAGACATTCTCCTCGATAGGAGGGGAGAAGGTTAGCACTGTCAGGCTTTGAGTTGTTTGGATGTCGGAAAAGTTTAGTTGCGGCTCAAGCAGCTGTCAGGTTTGTTGGGGATGAAGCCAAGACTACGTGTGCAGGAGGCTGGTGAGAAGGAACTTGTTTTTTCTCTTTTCTCTTAGTAGGAAATGTAAGTTTTCCTTTCCAGCAATGGCACTGATGTCTTTGGCAATCTTATTTTTTCTTAGGGAAAATGGAGGAAGTTGCTTCCTAGCAGTGCTTCAGCAGGGGACAGCTACCGATGCTCAAGCACAGATGAGCCCTCATCTCTTAAATAGGAGTCTTCCCTTGCAGTATTTCTGCAGAAACAGTTGAATTCTGAATTTTCTCCTATGGAACGTGGTTCTGAGCCAGAAGGATTTTAAAGCTTGAGGCATCTCCAAAGCCAGTGTGTTGGAAGCGCAGCGGTTTGCGTTAACTTGGCAGCGAGCACCTCCAAAAAATCCATAGGCTGAGCTCAAGAATTTCCTTCGGGACTGCACATACTTTTGCCTTTTCAATTCCCCGGGGTGTGCTTATTTTCTTCTCTCTTTAGTCCAGCCCTGACCTCCTTAGCAGATAGCTTCAGAATCGACTGTGCCCAGTGCTCAAACCTCTGCAAACTTGTCAGTGTGGTTCCTTAATCCAGGCAATATGAGTACAAACCAAAATGATTTTACCCCTGTGCATTTTCAGATGATCTAGGAGCTTTAGCAGGCACCATCTTCAGGATGGTCTGATGACCTGCCCAAAACATATTTCCTGTTATACTACTTTTTTCTCTCAGTCTTTGTTTCCAGAGATACTTTCCTCTCCTGCGCTCTTACTTCCTAAAAATGGCCAGTGAATAAGTATTTCACAATATAGTCATCTATCAAGTGCAATTTGTTCAAATAGTGCCAAGACTAAGAAACCAATGGATTGCTAGTTCTTCTATATCTGAATGAGCCTGTATAGCTGAAATCTAAAATAAACCCTTGTGGACCCATGCTAAAGGAGAACACAACTGCCAAGTTGTGACATCTGCTTGATAGTTCCCTTCAAAATCCTCTCCTGTGGTTTAAAAGCTTCATATTAAACAGCTAAAAAACCTAATGAGGAGACAATAATAGAAAATATACTACAGGACTGGCTAGCAAGATAGAAATCCGTCAGAGCATTTTCTCAAAGTTGTGTTATTTAATGTCGCAAATTGTGATTTGCTTCCTGTTTTAATTCTGGAGTTAAATAATTTAAATGTGCAGAGTTTGCCATTGGAATAGCCTATTTAGAAACACGCGGAGGAAGCACATCCCTTAACAGGCTGCGGCTGCCTGCTATACTCCTCCCTACCGACTCGCGCTCGGCTCGCTGAAATCGTTATTAAACTGCCTCTTTTGTAAACTGTGTAATTTTAAGGAATCCGTTGGCAGTATGAAAAGCATTCAGGCTGCATTACCTGCCTGCCAGTGTGTTGTATTGCCTGGAAGTACTTTTCTGTGTTCGGGATAAACTCACTGTCTTCCAGCTGGGAATACGTGATTACCTTTGCTTGTTGTAAAGGTAATGATCGTGGCTGGCCCGACTGCCAAGCCCGGGGGAGCGTTCGTGGCATGCTGCGCAGCGTGAGCCGAGCACGAGGCAGCGGAGGCGCGTCCTGGATTCAGCCCTTGCTCCCAAGATGGTTTTAGCCATCTGCACGTGGGTGCTTGGCGTCTTTGCTAGCGGCGTTCTCCGGTGCCCGCTTGCTCCCCTGTCCCGTTTGCTGTTATATCTACGCTGAGAGATGGGATAAAAGCTGGCGTAGCGGCTGCAGCACACGGTTTCGCCTTGGTAAGCGCCAGGAAGGCAGCGCAATCCACATGCTCGCTGCCAGAGGACGGACTGCCTCACTCACGGCCCTGCGGGAACGGGAAGGCCGGTGCGGAGGTCCAGGAGCCGGGGTTTCTTCTGCTTGCGGTTCGGTTTTGCTATGGAGGTGGAGTTGCATTACGTACAGTAGGATTGTTATCTGATTCATCAGAAACAATTGCATGATCTAGCTTGCTGCGAAGCAAGTTTTTACTCTAATAGCACCTTCCGCCTTCCAACCGGCATCACCCAACGTGCTTTCACCCTCCCCGCCACGGTTGGGTCCCCGAGCCCCCGTGGGCAGCTGCAGAGCTCCTTGACAGCCTTGGGGGTCTCCTGTTCATGTGACGTGGTCCCAAAGCAAGGGCTGCCCACGCTCGCTGGACAACAGCGACTGTCCCCCCCCCCAGACCTCGCAGCTGGACCATGCCTCCAAGCAGAAAGAGAAGGGATTATGGCAGCAACAACCCTCTCCTTTCCTGGAGGCTGGCCAGGTGCAAGGCGAGCAGAGCCTCCCTATTGCCAGCCGTCAGCAGTCTCCATTATCCCATCTGTGGAGAAGTCTCCTGCATCTTATCTTCCGGCTTGCAACGGAGATAGGTGCCCTACCTCCAGCCCTAGCTTTAAATGAGGGGAGTGACCCTTAGCTCTTACGTATAGGGCCTTTTAAATAAGGTCTTGAATTAACCCGATGTTCTGGCGTGGATGCAACAATGAGTTCCTACTGCTCTGAGCTTGCCTTGTTGCTTGTATTCAAAGTTTAATAGGGAGCCTTCAGAAAAATATAACCTTATTTACACTGCATAAAGCCAATTGGATTTTGGTTAACTTAATTTCTAAATGGTTACAGTTCACTAACAATGTAGGTGTGCTGTAGAGGCAATGCACAGGGGGTGACTTTTTATTTTAAACCATGCAAGCTTTTCTTTTATTCATGTCATTCAGGCAGCCTCCTGATACTTCGCATTTCCAGCTTTCATAATGTGTTGTTCCACCACCGTTTTTTCACCCTCCCTATTGTATTCTCACAAATCATACTCACTAATTTCTGAAAGCTTTTCATTTCTCTCTATAGGTTGTTGTTTCGTAACGTTTTATACAAGAAAAGCTGCTCTTGAGGCACAGAATGCACTGCACAATATTAAAACTTTACCTGGGGTGAGTACCTTTCCTTTTTGATCCTAATTATTTTATCGCCGGAAAATAGCCCTTTGGCTCGAGACGCTCGTTAGTGCCCCAAATGACCTTGATCTCTTCGAGGGAGGGTGGCTAACCTGATGGTCCGTACTGTAAGTGTGCCAGCCCGGTAGCAGTGGCATTAGCGCCAAAGACAGTTGCTTTTCTGTAGACTGTCCTTTGGCTGGAAACAGGACTGGTTCCTGCCAAGTAAAGAAAGCTACTGAAGGGCAGAGTAGAGTGAATTTAAAAAAAAAAAAAAGAGGTGGGAGGGGAACCCATAGGACAGAAGAACGCTCCACCACCGCAGGCGATGCTGGTGGAGACGCCTTCCCCGAGCTCCCCGATTGCGGGGGCAAAGCTGCCTCAGCTCTGCCCTGCGCCTGGAGCAGGGCGTCATTTTTCCTCCACTTTGTTACAGCTAATGAGCATGGTGCAGGAAAAGAGAATACTATGCCTTTAAAAAATTTTTTTTTAATATATGAAAGTCAAAAATCTAATGTTTTTCTAGTGCTGCCTCTAGGTCTTTAGCCTTTTAAGATTTATCTTTTCAAGCTCTTTTTTTTCCTTACTGACTGTGAGGTTGCAAAATTACTTTTAAGGAAGTGTGAAAATGACACTCCCGTGACTCTGGGGCCTGGGCTTTAAAACTGCTCCCGATACTGCACGAGTTGTTAAAATTTTACTTGGACATAAGTTGTCCCACCTGCGTCTTAAAGAGACATCTCTAATAAAGAGCAACAACTGAAATGCAGATTAACTGCTTCTCTTTGCGAACAACCCAGCACACATTATATAACAGAGTCTATATTTTGCCCAGGCTGTACTCTGACATTCAGCATATATAAAGATCTGTTATGATGCATCTGCGTAGTCCCAAAATAACTTCCTTTAAGCACTCTTTAAAGTTGGGGCATGCGTCTTGAAGACATTTCACTTGAGCAGGATTCTCCTGATACGAATTTTATCCATTTCCACAATGCTAAAGCTGGCCCACTAGGCAGTTTCCAGTGAAGCAGTAGGAATGAGCAGTGAAAAGGCCCCTGGGCCCAACAGCTTCTGCGAGCAAATAGGAGCAATCGGCTTTGCAGCAAGGGACGAGTTCGCATTGGGTTTCTTTTGGCACTGAGTGTCAGCTTGCTTCCCATAAACAACATAACGATCTTTAGGAGGTCTCGTGGAGACAAAAAAAATCTGTGCGTTCTGCTTTTACCATGCTTCAGATAAGGTGCATCCTCAAATAGCCCAGGAAAAAAAAAGAGGCAAAGGCAAGTGGTTCATTAGTTTAAGGTAACAAATTTCAGCAGAGGGCTGGAGCAGGGTGCAGCAGGGGATGCAGCGTGGCTGGACCTTCCCTGTGTTTTCCCTGCTGCTGAAGGGCAGAGGGGAACACCACTACCTCAGGGCTATATTCCCTAAACGATCGTAGCCAGATTATTTCTGGTCTTCATCGCTTCATTGCTTAAAGGAAGCCCTGCTCCACATGGCTCAGTAAGTAGGTTTTGGATCGCCACTTGTGAAGCCCCAAGAAGTGCTCTTGCAGTGAGAGATTCATCCGCCACCCAAGGCTGCATGTTCGATTTAGTTTAGGTGGGCGTTTGAGCAAAGGCTGCCCTGCTCCGTACTTATATCTACTTCTTGGGTGGACCTCGCCCTCAACGGAGACATGCAAATGCGAACACTTTATCTGTTCCTCTGAGCCGAGGCCTTTTAGTGGACATGCAGAAAATCAGACAAGACGTAAATGATTAATGCAGACTCTTGGAAGAAAATATTGCAGGGTGCCTCGCTGTTTGATTACAAGCCTTGGAATTAGTCAACATTTCCATAATTCTAAACCAATATACACCTGTTTTCCCACTGTGATGTGAAGGCACAACTTAATTTAACAGAAACCCTGCTGTGCTAAATCTCTCATTAAATACCAAGCCAGTTCTGTAATTTAAAGTTGCAGCACCACTATTTTAACTGAATTGCCTTTGTATTATGAAATTAATAAGAAGTTAATGATGCACTTTGCTGTATTCCCTCAGATTTTTTTTCACAGCAGCAACAACAAAAAAAAAAGATAAAGAAGAAAAATATGTCACCAGCTGACATCTCAAGGCTTTTTTGGTTTTAATCATTTTCCTGAGGATAAAATTCATTCAAAATAGGGTTTTTAGAAAAAAAAATTAAAAACTTTCAGCCTAAGTAGGATCAAACATTTTCTTTTTTACTCATGATTAGTGTAATCTGTGTGTTCGTCCTAATGTTCCTTGACATATAATGTAGCTTTTATCTTCCCCCCAAAATGTGTTTAGATATCACTTGTTATGGTAACATCTCTATGAGGCAGAAAGGAAGAAACATAGTGTTTGAGAAATGCAGGCTCATATATGATGCATATTAACATAAAGAAACAGCTACCTTTTGGTAGTGGTGTCAGGATTAGCCGTTATGTCTCATAACTGAACAACCTGAATTTCTGGATGTTATTTCAAATCCAGCATTCAAGTGGCCCTAGCTCATAGGGGTGCAGTTTGGAATATTTCAAGTTGCGGACAGTTTTTTCCAGCATGAAAGTTGCTTTGGATTTTGTTTTTATAAGCAGAAGGGAGAAAAGGAAAAATCTCAGTTTGAACGTAGCGCTGGTGGTGGGAACGTGTTTCTTTGGGACGAGGCGTCGAGCTGAGGCCTTACCCAATCTCATCTTCATCAAGCCTCTCAGGGCTTCGTTAGAGGTGTTTAACTTCTAATCCCTAAACAAAATCATCCAAGAAATTCCTCCCATCTCAGTTTCTTCTGTACCTTTAGTTAGAGGTAATAATTCTGGTTTCTTCTGTGTCCTAATTTGCAAGTTTAGTGAGAATTGTTTTTTAAATAGGGGCCAAACCTTGAAGATTTGTATGCAGGGTCTACTCTCAGCCATGTCCATAGCACTGACAGTCATTTTTTGTTTGTTTTGCCTTTAACATATATGTTAGTTTACAAACGGAATCTGTTCTGCTTTGCTCTGGTGAGTTTGGTAAGACTTGCTGGCAAAAGTTATCCGTAGATAGGTAAACCTGAGGACTTTTTGTCGGTCTATTCTTGAAGCCCAGTATCTGAATAAATGCACCTTTAATCTCATGCAGAAGCAATTTGAAGTCAGCAGTCTACTGGAATCTATTTGCAAAACCCAGACCTGAGTTTCTTTAGATTCTTTGTTTTATATTTGAAGTTAGATTCATTTGGCATGGCAGTGATCATTTCTTGTCCGCATTTTTCTTCATATATCCTTGTAGCTAAGGTTATCACAGAATCACAGAATCACAGAATCGTTTAGGTTGGAAGGGACCTCTGGAGATCATCTAGTCCAACCTCCCTGCTCAAGCAGGGTCCTCTAGAGCGTATTGCCCAGGATCACATCCAGACCGGTTTTGAATATCTCCAGGGAAGGAGACTCCACCACCTCTCTGGGCAACCTGTTCCAATGCTCTGTCACCCTCACAGTGAAGAAGTTTTTTTCTCAGGTTCAGATGGAACTACCTGTGGTTCAGTTTCTGCCCATTGCCTCTTGTCCTGTCCTGTTATCACAAAAATAATTAATATGCAGCACTGATTTAAGTCCCATCACTCCTGTGCATTTATCTAACAGTTAGCACTAGTCTTGGTGTTTTACCTGCTTCTTACTTCAAGAGTGATAGACTTATTCGAAGCAGCAGCGAGTCCTTTGTACTGAAGTCCTGGTGTAGAATTAGGACATTAGCTACATGAATCTATTTGATTACAAGTGTAACAATGGAGAAACACAGTTTGGAGAAAGTGCTTAAAATTTTAACAGCATTGGAGGAGTTTGCGGACTCTAACTGTCTTGTAAAATATGAATGGCCTCCGTTTTGCCAGATGTTGTCAAGGAGAAAATTTTCAATTTTTACATTGTAAGAATCATTCCTGGTTTTATTAAATGCCATTTACGTGATAGGGAAACATGACTGCCTTAGAGGGATGTTTTCCGTAAGGATGCTATGCTAGCTGGTGAGAAACCTCAGGTCCCGTTTGGGTGTAGATTATGGAAAAACGTTTGTAAAGAGGAATTTAGATTATTGTTCTGTTTTGGTGCCCTTTCAGAATATGGTTTGCTCTGCCCTCCAACAGGCTGAGGAGATAAACCCATTTGCTTAATTTGGACTGGATCCCTAGGTTTCAGATAGGAATTTCAGATGAGACTGAAGCCTTCTACATTTAGAGAACATCAACCATAATGATTTTATTTGGCTCTATCTCCACTTCCTGATTAGGTAAAAATTACCTGTAATAAAAAGGTAATCATCCAATATGACTTGAATAACAGCCTCAATATGGGATATCACTGAGTTTGTGAGGTTTTGACAAACGGAAAGGGAATTCAAACAGCAATTAAATTAGTTAAGGGATTGGACTGATTGATTTATGATGACAAATGAAACTAATTCAGTATCCATATAGCATGGCCAAGTAGTTAATGAAGGATCGGAAAAGTCTAGAACTACTTAAAGGATAAAAATAACCAGTCGGGAAAGTGGAGAATTCCCAGTGAGCAACTGGCCTGCCTGACATTGAATGAAGTTGAGAAAGAGAAAGTGAATCTGGCCCATTACTTGCTTTAAGGTACTGTTCAAATGCAGCCACTTAATGATACGTTTCGTTCAGCTCAGAAGTTACTTTTTATTACATAAATACACCACTCCCACCTCTACCCCTTCAAAATAAAAGTTGCATTGACATTGCCAATTAAATGAAAAATCAATATTTGTCCAAAATTCAAATACCTCGATAAAAAGATTATGTTTGCATTTACCGTTACTGTGAAACGCAGAATACATCACCAGCCCTGAATTCAATATTGCATAAAACTGTAAAAAGTGACAAAGCGACTTAGGAGCCTAATGAAATCTATGTAAGTAGCTGAACTTGCAGCTTAATGGCAAAATGATATATGTTGGGCAGGCATAGGGAGAGGGGCGTATTCACTTAGTGGA